GTACATGAGGAGTGAGAGGGGCACAGTGTTGTCAGACACACGTGCACACACAGACACCCTGTGTTCTACACGGCGTGGCTGATCCGACCTGCAGCCTGCTGCTCTCTCAGGGCTCTGTTTGCTTAATGCAAAATCAATACCTTCATTTCCAGGACAATGATTCCAACATTCTCATGGAATAGCTGCCTAATTCTAAAGTCAAGTCCAGATGTTCATTGCAAAAGAGTCTAATAACAGCCCACAAAAGAAGAAGTGTGCCTATCAAACAAACATGTTGGAATAGCCTGTGGAAGCGAGTTAGCTGACAGCTATAGATTTGTCAGGTTGACAATTCACTGCACATCTGTGTCTGCCAATACAGGATTTACTCAAAATTGCCTCTCTAGACACTTCTTTACATAACACATATTTAGCTTATTAGTGCTGTCATTTGGGAGTGTGGTCAGCTTTTGAGCAAAATCTCACTGAGTCCATTAGCACAGATCCCAATTGCAGCTGCCATTTTAGAAGCACAATGATTAGGTTTGAAGTTCAAATGATTTGATTTCACTTTAAGGCTTCAAAAACAGCCTCTGAGGTAGATTTACACAATTAATTTTTACTGAGGTCTGCTGGGTAATTTACTGTAGTCAGACAATCTTCACTAAGGTAAGGTAATTTCCACTGGGTAATTTTATGGCACTCCATTCAGCATGAAGCATGTTGGCTGATTTCTGCTCAGGTAAGACCTGGAAGGAAGAGAAGATGCTGCTTTTGGGAGTCACAAGATGTCTGCAACACTGAGGAGGAATGAGAAGAATTCACTGACTTTCCAGATGTGGACCAGGAGTTGTACATGCCCTCAAAATGTCTTTTCAGGAGCGCGCATAAGGATTTACACAATCCCTTGAACATTGTACTGAGAAGCTTTCAAAATTGAAGCACTGTACCCATGATTCTTTAATACAGGAACAAAGAAAGCATTCTTTGTTTAGTCTGAACACAGAAGTAAACAATGACATTAAATATCCCTTTGAGATTTGTATTTATCACTTATAAGAAGCACTTCCTAATAATCAGTGGCAGCTAGGCTGACAAGCAAACTTCAGAGCAAAGCCAGAGGGGATACAAGTCTATTTTAGGTTTGCTATTGACAGTAGGGGTCAGAGGAAAATAAACTCAGCAAGCAGTGTCATGCTACCACAAACCTCTGCTGGCCAAGCAGAAACTAAATTACAGACAAACCTTTCAGCACAGCAGAAAGACTTGGGCAATTGGGCTGCCCTGCAGTGCACAGAGCACAACATACAGATGAAGGATTAAGCACAAGTGAGACATGACATAAATTACAGAAAAATTAATCAAAAGATTGGAGGAGCTAATTATCCCGTAGTCTGGAATGGGGGTATGTTATGCTGTCCCCTATTATTTTAATATTTCTAGTTTGCAAAGTTAATCTGTGAAGCCTGTAAAACAAGGATTGACCACAGCCTCCCTCAAAATAATAATAATATAGGTAATCTCAACTATCTGACTGAACAATAAGAAGGAAAGGAAAGAGCAGCAAAAGGACTTAGGCACTATTTCTATCACATACACATAAATACAAATAATAGAAAATAGAAAATAAAAATATTTTGAGTGCAAAAGTTTAGTCCTCAGCTTCATTTCATACACTGTAGCACTACTGGGAAAGCTTGTTTGATTTCTCTATCACAATAATAAAACATAAGATTTTTGTAAGGGGAAGAAGAGGGAATAAACATATCCTATACCTGATGGCTTTCCTTTTGATAAGTTTACTTCCTACTAAAGTTGATGATAAAAGCAGCTGTGCAGACTCATAAGCACTTCTATCTACATCTCTCCATGGACTAATTACAAATATCTGTTTCATACAGTCCTGGTATCTAAGGCAGATTTAATTTTATTGTATCTTTCACTAGACATATATCAACACCTGTCATTTCGTTCCATTATTTTGCTTTCCTTTTTCTCTACCTATCATCCACTGGATGCAAACACTGTAATTCCTTCTGTTCTCTTCTAATTTTTTTTTGCTTTTTGGTTGGTTTGTTTGTTTTCATGAAGCCACAAATACTTTGTCCATTGTCAGGGGCAAGTTGCTTGAAACAAAGAAGGCTTTTCAACTTTCAAGCATAATTATAGGGGACAGAAATGCCTAGACAAGTTATTCTAACTTATTCTTCTTGCCCTTTTCTTCCAACTAGTGATGATTGATACACTGATAATTCACGAGGAGCATCGATGTGCCAGAGATAAAACATTTCAGATTTTAGGAAGGTGTTTAAAACTCAAGAGCAGCTCTGGTGAGTGATGCCTCATCTTTGTACATTCATTCTCAGCCAAACTGATGCTCACTCATGCCGTTCTTTTGACCATTTTAAGACACTTGCTTATCATACTCTCACAGTTGTCTGTTAATTTTATAGAACTCTGGGATATTAAGAGTGTGTGGCAATGCCACACTAACTTGGTTGGAGCATACAGGTTGTCAGATTAACAAATTCTCCTGACTTTGAGGTCCCATAATTCATCAATTTTGCCAGCACTATTTTTGCCCTGCTGCAAGGTGGCATTGAGGATATAAGTTGGATCAGCTTCCACAGGGTCTTGTGACCATGATTCTTATTAATACAAACAGGATGTCTTTTACATGTTTGAAATCTTATGGATTGATGGGAAAAAAAAGGCAGCTTCCAGTGACTGCAGTAATATCCACAACAATGGTGAGCAACACAAGGAGAATAAAATCAAAGAGCCCAGTTCCAGTGTAATGTACTCCATTTGGAGTATTTGGGATTGCTCCAGTGAATCATTTCACTCCTCTTTTTCCTCCAAGGCTTTCTGATGAACCATATCATCATTCCTTGAATCTTCTCTTTTTAAAAAGTTTCCTTTCAAAATTTGACCAGCATTAAGATTTCTGAGTATGCTGACCATGGAAATGTAGGTAGTAAGAACAAGGGCAACAAAAGACTGTTCTTAGTCTTCCTGTCCATAGATAATAGAATACTTCTTTCTCCATAGCTTTAAATGGTACTTCCACTCTCTGCCCTAAACATCAGCTTCTTTTGGCACATTTATCACTTCTCTTTCCATGTATAACGACTCTGTACCAGTGTTGGAGAGTATTAAATTGATTGGTGGAAAATTAATGGAGCAAGCAGGAATGATAGAGAACAATTACTTCTGCATTATGGCTTTTGATAATCTGGCAGTCTGAGGGGCCCTAACATAAAGCACAGCAGTAAAGGAAATGCCCAGTATGACCTTGTTAGAGAACTTCAGTGAGGCCAGAGAAGAGTCAGAAGGGTCTTGTTCAAAACTTGGAGAAACAAGAATAGAGGAAGATGCACCTCACTGCTATTTAGCAAGATAGTGCCTTGCTACAAGGGTGCAAACTGGAAGGAAACAGCAAATATTCAGGAAATTCTGTATACAAGAAGCCACAAAAAGGTTTTTTTGCCTTATGATACTCATGCAAACCAGAGCCCTGCCTTTACTGTCAATCCCATTACTTTACATTGCAGGCATTTTAGAGCTTTTTTAGCTGTCCAATTTCTGTATCTACTGTTCCATTCAATTTGGTTCCTCTCCTGTGGTGCCAACATCTTGAGCAAGGCACTGCAGAAAGAGCAAAGCATTTGGAAGTGAAGGCACAGACAAGTTCAGTGGTTGATGACTGTGCAATTTAGAATGCAAGGAAAGAAAGTTGTTAGGGATTCATATCTCCAGATGCATTTGAATATATTAGGAGAGTAGTTTAATAGCCATTTTGTAAAGAAAGGCCCTGATCTCCCTCAGTAAAATGATGGCTAGAATGTTTCAGAAAACATTTTTATCACATATGCTAATCCACATTCTCTTCACTTTCAGACTTTTTTGCAGATGGCATTTTTAGCAAAGTTGTCAGCTTCTGTGCACAGAGAGCTTTTGCTTTTCCTGCATTTTACATGTGCTACAAGTCTTAGATGCTTACAGAAATACCCCTGTTTAGAAACAAGTTACATATGGCAGCAGTCCTTGACATGGTTTCTCAACAATTTTTGCAGTCACTGAATGCTTGCCTGCTTCAGGGACAACTTTGTCTGGTTTATAGCAGCTTGATTGCACTGGTCTAGAAAGAGATTCATGAAAGGTCTTTCCCCTTCCCCTGGTCTGACATTTTGCAGATGACTGTTGTTGCTGTCTAGGCAATGAGATGTAAAAGTGTCCTCCAGAAAATCAAAGAGCTGGACCCTGGAAAATGGTGGATATAATACAAGGGAATCTCTTGTGTGTCTCACAGTTTCTAAGTGACAAAAACCCACTGACTCAAAGGACAACCTGACTTCAGAGTAGGGTACACAGATAGAAAACCAGATTCATTCAACTTTGTAACAATGCATCATGGTAAACATCATGTCCAGAAATGCTATTTGAAAGAAAAAAAAAAAGCCAATATATAAAAATGCAAAACAATTGAAGTTTGGATTAGCTAGACTAACAACTTGCATAGGCCAGGCCTAAAAATAAATCCTACAGAGCTTTTCTTCCTGAGTTTGTGCTATTAACAACACTACTGAGTTTCATTAGCAGGATTCAGCACTATTGATGCAATCTGCTGTAAACTTTGCTTATTTATAACCTTGTTTTAAGTTTCTAGAAACTTTCAAGGAAAACTGTGAATTAGAATGCTCTTGATGTTTAATAACACATTTACATTGCTTCAATGATAACCAAAAAAGACAAATGCATTTTTTCTCCACTACTTCTCAAAGAAAACCAAGAACTTAATTCCGCAGTGCTCTCAATGGTAAAGTTTCCATTAAACTTTTTTGAGTCACTCCTGTGAAATTAAAATAAAAACCACACCCAATCAACCAAACACAAACCACAGAAATTAGCTAAAAGAAAGGTGTTATCTATCTGCACAATACCAGAGAATTTTGCTCCAACAGACACTCTGAAACGAAACAAAACTAAAAAAGCAAGCATGTATAATGTGTATTACTTACAGTGTATTTCTAGAACCTGCATTGCTATCTGAGGTGTAGAGTTTAGGGACTCATGATCTACTCTGCAACTTACAACTGCACCATCATCACTGCGATCTGCTAGGAAATCCAGCGTGCTGCTGACTGTGAATGTTTTACGAACTGCATCTTCTTCTTTTAAGTATTTAACATCTGAAAGAAAGAATAAACAGTTAGTTATCTCTGAAAAAATCGTGGAAAAATGTAGCCCAGCATTAGCTAAATTTTCTATCACGGTTGTTGGAAAAAAACACATCTTGCACATCTGCATTGGTGTCTTTAATGTAAAAGTAATTAGACTGCAGTTATTCCTCAATTTGCTCTCATTGACAGAATAGGAGATACATATTGAAAGAGAAAATTTTAAAACTTGTTCCATGGTACTGCATTCAAACAGAAATTCCATTCATTATTACCTCTTGAATGTTTAGGTCCATATTTGATATAATCTTTCTCTGTAGGTCATCAGAAAAAGATTGTGATCTTGTCCCCCCTCATTACCTTACATATTTACAGTGTCACTAAGGATTAAGTTTTCCAAGTTCATTCTTATAGCCTCTCACAGTAATGCAATATATAGATATTACTGAAGCCATGTGCACATTGTCAGATTAATCCTGTGCTTACTCTATTCATTGGTTATTCTGTTGTTTGGTTAGAATTTTTCTAATTTACTAATAAAACTAAACCCAGGTATGGTCATCAGTGGTAATAAACAACTGTAAATAGAGTATGTCATACTATTTAATATAATATACAGATGAGTCCCAAGAAGACCACTGCTTTATATCATTCAAAATTGACCTGATACTTTTGTACAGATCCAGTTAAGAATTAGAGATTTTTCAGCACAGACATTGCAGTGGAGGGAGCTTTCAGCTACACTTAGGAAGCCTCATCTCAGCTCAAGGTTAAGATCCACATCCAGGACATTTCATTGTAAGAAACCCATGCTAGATCAGAAATGAAGATCCAAAAGGCTGAGCATTTGTGTTAAAATGTTTGAATGTATTAAGTGGAACCTAGTATTTTCTTACACATTCTTTAGAATTGTTTTACTTGGTTTCCAACTACTTGTGATACTTATTGATTTTAGTTTATTTCAGAAAAATGGTAAGCTTGTTATATTGATTTATTGCAATGAATGCTTGAAAAGACATCTATAAATACTTAAACATATATATTAAATTACACTGAGATTTCATATGTCCTCTGTGCCCTAAAGAAGTGAGAGGTTTCAGTTTTACAAATTATACTAAACCCCATTAGAGAATAGAATGACCTAAATAAAATTTCCATGAAATATCAATTTTAGAAAGCAAATCTTCAATGGCTTAAGCTACATCTTTTAAGATTAAAAATACCTCTGACATCAGAGAGGTGGTCTTTATCATTGTCTCCAGACAGATAAGGACACCATGTAGTTTTACAGTTTCCATTTTTCCCTATAAAATAATTATTTCTTGCATAGAAGAATTTTTCTGCCTGTTTGCTGCTAAGCTTTCAAAGATTTCAGTTTCTGCCAGGGTCACTATTAATATTTAGGGATTAGTAGGTGAGAGAAATATTGACCAGAGCTAAAGCAAAGTTATTATAATCAAACAACAAATGTCTTCACTAATAGTTAAAGCAAACACATGTGATTTTGTTCCCAGAGTGAGGTTTCCAAATTTAATAATAAGCACCTATATAGGTAACATTCTGCTTATAAGTAATGTGCACATCCCTTTGCTTACTGACTTCAGGTGGGGGACAGAAGACTCCTGAAAACATCAACAACTTTAATTTTATTGAGGGGTTGTGGATTCTTAATCCTTTAGAAAAACAAAAGCAGTTGATTTCCTAAATTGATGTTTAGATGTCTCTCTCTATGTATCTATTGTGTGAAAGAGTTCAACCCTTAGAATTAACTTCCTCAGCAAAAAGGGCAGTGATAAGATTCTACAAACTGTTGGCATTCTCACCAACAGAAATTTTTAGCTTGTCCTCATTATCAGCTGTAATTTCTAAGATGTTTCTGTATGGCAAAATGAAGGTGTGATTGTAATATGCATTAATTGAGTGCAAACCCAGCTTGATGTAAGAATGGTGGTGATCAGGTACTGGGGACACACCATCACTCAGGATATTTTACAGAATTTTAAAATATGTCAGTTGTAGCCTACTGTTTCATTTGTTTCCTTGCTGCTCCTCTCTCTCCTAAATATTCCCTTGAAGAAAAGGTTGAAAAGAAATCCATTACACAAGCATTTGTGTGATGGAGCAGGCTGGAGGGATACACCTTCACAGAGGAGGACCCAGGGGTTGTAGGACATGTTGAACATTAATCAACAGCATGCTCTTACAGGGCTGAAAGCTAAAATCCACTGCCTTACATCAGTAAAATCACAGGCAGAAAGTCAAGGGAGGAGATCCTTTTCTCTTTGGCATGGCTACATTGAGAGTATCAGGCTCAGTTTTGGGCTCTCTGAAGTAAAAATGTAAAATAAACCTGTTGAAAAACATTGTGGTCAGTGGAGCTGTACAAGGACATCTTAAGAAAGTTGATATTATCTAACCCGATGAAGAGAAGACTAAAACCAGATCAAATTGTTGCCTTAAAGTATATAAATTATGGGCATAGAGAAAAAAAGCCAGAATCCCCTGAGAGGTTTACAGCAAAAGTCACTGGGCATCAATCACAAGTTACACCAAGACAAATTTGGGTCATGTATCATGAAATATCTACAAATAATGAAAACACAACACAGGAGGGCTTCAGAATGCTGAAGAACCTAGTCCAGGCAGGAATGTTTCTATGGAATCTCTGTCCTGGGAGACTTTTCAAACCTGAATTGGAGAAGACCTTCAGCCACTTGATTTAACCTTGGAACAGATGTTGGGCCAAATGAAACCTGGGGATCAGCTGTAGGCCCACTTCCTGTCACACAGGTACACAAATAGATATGCCTGGATCAACTAATACAGGTTTGTATCTCATAAGTGTGCATGTTTGATAGGGAAAATAATAAATGGAAATGATGGAATGTCCATCATCCATTGCTCATTGAAATCTATTTATTGAAGCACCTACCTGTAACACACAGAAATACTCATCTTTTGAAAATACAGCTTTTCTTGTTTTACATGGCAGATATAATTTTTGTTTAGATTAAACTCAAGATCTGATATGAAATGGCCTTATTATCTAAAAAAAAAAAATCATCTTGGCTTTGGAGGTTTATCAAGACAAAATGATCGGTGCCTTTCTAAAATCTTTGTGTACTCTAAAATTACAGAAACTCACTCAAAGAATCTTAACCTGACACAACAAAATCAACTTATTTAGCTTTAAAACCCAATCTACCTAGGAAAAGAAAAAAAAATCCATTCAAAATATTCCTGAAGCCTAAAAAAATTCTCTATGTGATTTTGTTGAAAGAGCATGTAACAAATTTTGTTGGAAAAAATAGGTAATTCCAAAATGAAAAATTTGCATTTAGCTTCTCCAGTACTTTTGTTCTTAAAAATCTTCCAGGAATGTCACCAGAATGCTAAACTGCAGATCCTTTTGTTAAATTGGTGCATATATGAGTGACAGAACACTAAAGTAAAAGGTGTGGCACCCAGTGCTTCACATTCAGGCTCTCTCATTACTAACACTTACTTTATCAAACACTATTCCTTTACCAGATAATGATTCCTTTTTTGAGTAATAGCAATGGAGCTACAATTTTAGAGTGGCTTTTTCCCCTTTGGTGCAACTTTGATCTCAGTGCATCATTTATATTCGTTTACAACATGCATAATACAGTGTAACACAATTGGATTTACTGGTGCTAGACAGACGAACTTCTAACCTTTAATGTCAGCTGCATTAGCATATCATTTCATATCTATTTTCTCAGATTTATCATTTCACCTTTTACACTGCACAAAGCTAATGTAACTTCTGCTGATGCCACTGCAGACCGGTTAGGTTATTTTATTTCTAACCTTTGAGAAATGGCAATGTGCTCTTCAGAAGACCTCGAAAACTAAACTGAAATGAATGTGCTCAGTACTTTCCTCTTATTTCTGGCTGTCGGGTATTTTTTCCCCTTTACTGTTCTTTTTAATACTCTTTTCCTGCTCCTTTGTTTCCCCATCTTGTTCTCTTTTTTTTTTTTTTTTTTTAATCCATTTAGGAACTCTTGAGAAGAACAAATTAGTTAAAGAGTCAAATCACCAAATTGCTTGCTGGCTTCAGTTACATGCCAGCTGAAGCAAAGGCAAATGCATTACACCAGATTTTAAAACATAATTTTTAAAATAAAATCTTTTCTAATATGTGTTGCCTTGATGCTAGGCCAACTGTATCACTATTTGTCTTATAGTATTAACATGGCTTGGAGTTATTTCCAGTCGTAACATGCTTTGAATATGTATATTCATCCTGACATCTTTTCTGAAGGACACCATCTATGCTGTGCCATGTGTGTTAGCTGTGCTGTTTAATTCTTCTTCTTACTTACATTTGATTAGATGCTGCATTTCTTCCATCAATTTCCTCAGATTTCCCAGTACTGAAAAGAATTATTCTGCTTCCTCATTTTCTATCCTTGTTACACATTTCAAATCATTCCAGTCTAAAATGCTTGTTCCTTTCAACATTATTCTCATTTTCATTAGAAATATAAGGACACTCTAGAATGGACAGAATTCCTTAGGCAATCATCTGCAATCTCCTTTATTTACCAATTTTATACCACAGCTCTGCTTTTGCACATTGAACTGTAATGGAGAATACTTTTGGAAGGTAAATGGTTCTGTAATTAACTCTATAACTTTGCTTGAGGCAGTTTATTGAGCTAATAAAATCCAAAATATTAGACAAATCAGACAAAATGAAAGGTGTTTGGTTTTGTTTTTTAAAGCTACACAGAAAAAGTGGATTTTGAATAACTTATTCATCTGATCTTATAGCAGAATGAATAGAGGTGGCATGAATAAATACCAGTACCTTATCCTTTTTATCCATTTACTTTATAGTGGGCACCTCAAGTGGCTTGGAGGTGTGACAGCCTTCTGCATCAGGAAGCTCTCTTCACTCACTCATTCACCAAGGAGGATTTAAAACTATTCCAGCATTTTTAAGAATATGGAGTAGAAAAATAAGTTCCAAGCAAAGAACATAGCAAGTGAAAGAGAAGATGGAAAGGAAATAAACAGCTTTTTATATGCAGCTCTTTCCTAGCTCGCTGCATCCTTGAAGGCAAATCATTGCTGTCAGCTTTGGTTTTAGTCACTCAATGGCTTTTCAGTTGCAGCAGATTTTGTCCCCCCAGCTCCTGTGAAGTTTTCCTGATCCCCTTTAAAGTCCATCTTCCCCCTCCTCCTCACTGCAGACAGCCAGCATCCTTGCCTCAGCTGGAGATTCTGAGTTTCCCACCTGAAATTCCCCCATTTGCTACATCCTTACTCTTCCTCACCAGAGCAGGCTCCATAGCTCTCCCATGGGAGTGCATTCTCCTGTCTCCTCCAGATGGTTCTGCTTCACCTGGTCACATTTTTTAGGGGAGTGTAACCTAAATCTGGGAATTAACTAAATCAGACATACCCCATTTTGGAATGGCACAAGAGAAAAATGAAGAGACAAAATATCAGGGATGCATGGTCTGACTGTGATAATAATCTACAGCACATTTCTCTATGAAATCTCACAGTTGAGTTATTATGCTGCATAGATTTCTGAGCAATCCAAAACATTGTTTTTTGCCATTTGAAGAAACAATAAAAAGATGGTTATATGACCACTACAGTAAATTACAATCAATTCCTCATCTGTGTACAACCCCCTACTTCCTTCATGACCCAACAGGAGCAACTTCACAAACACAGGTTAAAAAACATAATTCTATAGGATGTATAGTTTTGACAATTGGACGAAATGACACCAAAATCCTTTCAAATACCTTTAACTTCTTTGTCATTCTTGAACCATCTGATATCGGCTGCTGGCTTACTACCAGATGTCTTGCAAGTGAGTTGCATCCTCTCTCCCTCCATAACTGGTGAGGTAAATCCAGTAATTTGTGGCTTCTCAGGAACACCTAACAAGCAAACAAGCAAAATGTCTCTGATAGTGTCAGCTGCTGCCACAAATGCACGACCAACTTAAAGTTCACTTCTTCGTATGCTCTAAATTCTGGAAACAGGATAATTAATTCCTTGTGCCTTGTCAGTTACACCTTTTTCCTACTGTAAATTAACCATCAGTCTGAATGATAGTTGATTCTAAATAAATAAAAAAGCAGGAATTACCTAATTTTCTAAGAGAAATGGATAGTATTTTAATAAATACCTTATCTCTGTATATTCTGCATGCAGGTCTACTCTGACTTGTTACAGTATTTCAACTGCTCAGCACAGCAAGCAGGATGACAAAGCACATTGGAAGCACAGCTGTGAAAATTAAGCATAACTGGCAACGAAAAGCTGAACTAAGTTCAGAACAGATATTTACACCTAAATAATGAAGACTTTAATAGAAAATCCAGGGGAAAGGGAAGGTGAAAATAAATACTGGAGTCACTTTATCTTCAGAGAAAGCAAAACCAAAACACCAAGAGGTATAATCACAGCTCCACTGGCTATGAAGAGTTCTTCAGCTGAATACAAGTTCTTCAGAGGAGATCATATGATTTGAACATACCATAATCATAATATTCAATATAGAAATGGCTGTCTTACAATGGACCACGGAAGATTTAATAAAAAACAAAACAAAAAAACAACCAAACAAACAAAACCCTCAAACAAACAAAAAAAAAAAAAAAAAAAATTGGGAAAGTTTTGATCACTGCACGCATAAATCCATTTAACTTATGAAGACACAGTCATAACTTATTTTAAAGTAATTCTGATGGCAGTAATTTAAAAATCTCAAAAAATATCAGTTATAACTTGCAGCTACAGTGCTTTGGTGCATTCACATTTATGGTAAGATAAAGGGCTCGGTCACAGTAATTGATCCTGTGCCTTGTATTTAATAATTTGGTTTTTCTACATCTCTTTTCCAAAATGACAGATTATGTACATAAAAAGCAAAGCAGAATCACCTATTGCATAGTACACCTCTTTAATAAATCTACTCTTCTCTTTCAGGACAGAAAATGGTTTCTACTACAATACCCTGACACTTAAATTTTCTAATCGAAAGCAGAGCAGTCAATAAAGGGATTATTAGTACATACAAGGGTAGTTTATCTGATTAAAAGATGCAATATATTTCAGTTGCAAAGATCCCATTCTCCAGTAGAAAATGTTTTAAGAGTTTAAAATGTTGTTTTGAAATAGGAAATCACAAATACAAAATAAGCAGGAATCTTAAACTGTGTGGCTTTCTCTCTTGGAATATAATCAAATGTCAGAAAACTTCATGAAACCCCCCCCCTAAAATTAAGGTGAAGTTTAAAGGACAGTTAAAGATCAAGTTACTTCTGTTAATAAATATTGGATAGATATTTGGGGAGGTTTTCTTGTCTTTGTAACACCTTTCTATGTCTTACTGCCATTTAAAAGGTCGAACTCAATTGTTTAGATCATGAAATGCCTCTCCACAGAAAGAATATTAAGCATAGGCAGTTGGTATTCCAGAACATTCTGCTTTGAGTGGGTACTTTTTGTCGTTAATGGCAAACTTGTGAAGATTTTTGTAAAATAGTCTCATAGGGGCTAAAAGGGAGTTGTATTTCATATCCTAAGCACAAAACCAATTCCCTGTCTGGATTAATGTTAATATTACTGCCACAGAGAATATCTTACATTAGTCCTATTAAATTCAACTGTCTGCCCATCCACATATAAAAATAAAACAAAAAAGAAAGAAAGAGTCATGTTCAGGGACAGAAAAGAGGAAAAAAGAATAAAAATCAATCTCTAAAATCATATAACCTCTAAGGTTCGCAGGTGTGTTTCAGTGAACTATAGCAATTTTGGCTGATTGGGCTACTGACATTCATAGAATCATATAAAGCTTCGAGCAGAAACTTTATTTCCTGGGTCCTGGGCATCTCTTGAAATCTATTGTGTTTCTATGTGTATCTATAACCTCTGGGGAAAACAGCAGAGCACTTAGAGGATAAAGCATAAAAGAAGTGGCAAACCCAGTGAAAATTTGCACTTTATAGACCAAAAAAAAAAAAAAAAAAAAAAAAAAAAAAAAAAAAAAAAAAAAAAA